AAAAAAATGGTTCTGAACTAGTCTAAAAAATGCTGGGCCGGTCGTCGAATGGGCCAGAACTTATCCCAAAATAGTTCAGAAAAAAGCTTGAACTTGTCTCGAAATGATCTCGATTAAGTCTTGAAACTGTCCCAAAATGGGCTCATACTAATCCCAAAATGATCCCTAACTAGTCCATAAATTTTCCTTAAAGAGTCCTGATTTATTCACGAAATGACCCTGAAATAGTCCTGAAGCTGTCCTGGAATGGTCCTATTTAGCCCTTAATTCTTACTAGTCCAGAAATCATCCTGAAATAGTTCACAGAAAAAGCAATTACAGACTTTATGCCAGGTAACACGAGAAGCAGTTAAGCATTTTCAATTGGGTAATTCTAATTCTACCAATACCGAGAGCTAAGCTGCTTACACATCGAGAAGTCTGATGAGCAGATGAGATGATCTCCAAAATCAACAAATATCTTGCTTAGACTTTGTTGCTTTTCTCATTTTTCTTAAAAACAAATCATTGTATAAAGCTCCATAACACTGTTGAAATAAATTGTAGATCATTTAAAAAAAATATATACATATATATATTATTTTAATTGAATTATGGTACTGTTAGGTGCTTATTTTACCACAATTTAAATATACATAGATAAATTAACTATCAAATAAATTAAAACTATTTTTACTCTGCAGGCGGCAAATATTTCACCGGCGATACTGTAGTTGCCTCCGCAGGCGCACTCTTCTTCGCAGGACGCTGGCGTGGCTCAATATCGGCGAGGGAGCCAACGAAATTGTGTGTCGGTACAACACCTTCGTAATTGAAGTGATTGGGGCCATTGAGCGATTCATATTGCGCTTGAATGGTGCGCTGAGCCTGTTCGGCCTCTGCAGGTGTGCGATACTTTACGAACACAACTTCTGGTTTTTGCGGAGAAGTGACGCGCTGTTGTTGTAATTTATCAGCCAAATCTTCGGCATTGTGTTGCTTCGTCAGCACATAAATGGCAGTTTGTGAGTTCTGTGCCTCCTTGGCTAATTGCAGAGCTGCTCTCTCAAGACCATTCTGTTCAGGTGCTTTGATAAAGAGAACGCGTAGCTTCTTTTTGATTTTATTCAGTTGACTTTCGAAGTCATGTGGCAATTCATTGTCTTCTTGTGGTGCTGAAAGATAATAGAATTCCTTGTTGTATTGCGCTGGTACGCGAGTTTCGACAGATACAGTTGTAGGCTGGTATTGTGCTGGTTCCACAGCCGGTGGAGGTGGTTGAGCAGAGGAATATTGTACTGACTGTTGCTGTTGCTGCACGGGTTCTAGCTGTGGTTGAGCTTGAGGTTGGAGCTCCGGTTGCATTTGTTGTTGAGTCTGAAATTGTGGTTGAAGCTGTTGTTGAGTTTGTTGCTCAGTTTGCTGTTGTAGTACAACTGGCTCCAGTTGTGTTTGAGTTCCAGATTGTGGCTGTTGCTGTGCCTGTTGTAGTTGTGGTTCAGGTTGTGGTTGAAATAAAGTTTGTTGCTGTGGCTGTATTTGTACAAATGTTATTAGCGGTTCCACTGTATTTGGAATTTGTTGTTGCTGAACTGGCTGAGCCAATTCTTGAGTTTGCTGTTGCGACAACACTGTTTGACTGACAAGCTCTTGTTTCGTTAGTTGCTGTTGCTCATTTCTCACCAGTTGTTGTACCTGTTGTAACGCCGCGGCAAAATTGTCGGTAGGTTGAGCTACTGTTTGAGAGAGCACAGGTACAGGCGGTTCTGTAATAGTGAGAACTTGATGCTGATCCGATGATTGTTCCTGTTGATTAGCAAATTGTTGCAATAGTTGCAGTTGTTCATATGTGAAATCCCCGCCACCATTTGGTCCGATGTGCACTTGGTAATTGTATCCTTGTGGAGCCGTTGCAGCTATACCAACCAACAGTGATAACTGAAAAGAGAAGCGTAAGTGAGGTTTAGAGTTTGAGTTTTTCAAAATATTAGCTAAATAAAGTTTAATATTATTTTATTTTCTCTCTTTCAAACGACACGACGAAATCTTTCTTAAAGTTCTCTACTTCCTGCGAATGCAGAGAAACATGGATTAACTACATTCCCTGGTTTTAGAGCACAGTACTGGTGGGTTTGAGGATGTATACACAGGCTTTCGTCCGTTGCTACCAGCTCCCCTTAGGTACAAATATTCATCCACAAGAAATTTCTTAAAACACGAACGCTTATGAATTTTTTCATCGTAAAGTAACAGGATTTATGTAATAATATCAGTCTATTCCACACGCCTCGATTTAAGATATTTCCACCATTCCATCAATAAATCTGGGTTCGGGAGGTATTGGCAGTACGTCTGAACATAGCCGTTACAAAAGCTGGCCGCAACTATTTTGTTATGAGTAGCATCTGCTTAAGCTTTAGGATGGACTTCAGATAAGGTATCGGCGTAACATTCTACAACGAAGAAACGGAAGGGCATCTGGTTCGAACCCTTATTCTGCGATCGTTTTGGAAACGTTGGATACCTAATTGGAAGAAAATTCGTAAGTAGGTTTTCTGCTGTATATAATTTGTTTGAGACGCGTAGAAGTCCCGGCGAATATACTTGTATGCATATGCGAATATTTTCCCCAGGCTTCTCTCGCTATTGCTACTTTCATACTTACTAGACGGAGCATAGCAACTGAATACCCTGCCGACTTTTGCTCTGTTTTCCAATATTCTAATTGTCCTTATCTCCGACTTTCCCGACATAGCTAGAGGTAGTTTTGGCGATTTGCTCTTTACTATTTGTACAGTTTTTCGGTACCATTTTCACATGACTTCATTAGTCCTTATTTTCTGATGCGGTGATTTGAAGCGCTCCTTCACACAGTACAAATTTCAGAGCTCTGCCCACACTGTCTGTAGAGGGCTAAACTCTTTACAGCTTCTCTGCACTTTAAAGCTATTTGACTGAAGCTCCATCAGTTAAATTAGCTTTTTTCTCTCTCTCATAATCTCTCTGATACGACAAGGCGTGCGCAGATGAATTGGTTTACTTTGGACGCCGAATCATACAAGAGTACTGATAATGAACCACCAAACCATTCGGTCAAAGAGTTTTAACTGTTTCAAGCACCTCCCTCTTTCGATCAAACAGCTATTGATTACCTAAAGACCTAACTTTACGAAGCCACAAGGGTAAATCCTGGATCCCAAACTCGACCAGAGGCAATCCCAATATCATATATGTAATCGAATATAAATAATATACTCGATAGTGATTATTTAAGGACACTACCCAAGGCTTCCTCAACAGCTCTTGTGTGTCATTGTGTTTTCCCAAATTTTCAACATAACCGGACAGAGGTTTATTAAACTATCATCCACGAATTTCCTGTTCTTATATCCTTTGTCTATTCTCGGTGTCTGGTTTCTGTATCTCGCTTCTATTGCTCTCTCTGGTTTTTGATCTGAGTCCCTATGTCTGGTCACTTTCACTTTCTCTGGGCTCTAGCCTATATTTCTGACTCTGGGCTCTGATCGCGGTCCCTGGACTCTCTCTGTGGTCTTTATCTATGCTTCTGATTCCCGGTCTCTGTCTCTGGTTTTGCCTTTGCTTCCTGGTCTCTGTCCCTGGTTTTGCCTTTGCTTCCTGGTCTCTATCTCTAGGCTCTGATCTCTGTTAATGTTCAAGTTCTCTGGATGGCTACGCGGGAGCTCTCGAAAATTCTCACATGTTTCTTTCACCTATCGAGATGCAGCCACCCATGGAAGTCTACTTTAATAACTTTCACTGTTGTCAAACACAACGTGTGTTCATACTATTTATCACACCCTAAGTGTGATTTATTTATTTTTAGTTTTACTTCATTTCACTGCTCACTCACCACCAACACGCGCATCTTCGATTTGGTTGAAGTTTATCAAAAACCCGTGCAAACTACGAGGATCACCTCCTTAAGTCTTCACAATGTGAAATTTCAAATGTAACTGTTAATCATCACAGACAATAGTGCACTTTTTATATGTCGGCAAAATAACCGAGCGCGACAGTTAACAAATAACAGGCAATCGAGAAAATCATTCAACAGCATACAAACTTTAAATTAAGAAATAAAGAAAAAAAATAACAATTAATACAAATACAAATTATAAACGCCTTTCTGACTGATAAACTGCCCAACGTAAAATATGCATACATTTTTTTTCCACTGAGGTGTCTGTGTTTTTTTTTTTTTTTGTATTTGTATCCACTTATCTGCATACTCATTTAGGGACTTACTTTTATGACCAAAAGCAGAAATGTCTAATTTAGCAAGTTTTTAAATGCAACAATACCAACTGATGAAAGGTGCAGATGCAGCTGAATGGGGTAGATAATGAAAGAGTATATCGGCTTAGCAGACAAGCAGACAGGCAAGCAGCGTGACGGCATGAGCGGGCGTTTGGCGTGAATAATGTCAGCTCCAGCTCCGATCTACAGTCCAGTTAACTAAACCCATATTTTGGGATTTGGTGCAGCAGGTGACGCGTGTCCCCCGATGTTTGTCAAAAGACACACTTTTTTTTGTTATATACATATTTACTAAAGTGAATACAGTGGGTCAAAAGTAGAGTATGCCATGAAAATTTAAACTTATACTTAACAATGGCGAAGTGTCTTGCGTATATGTACTTGGAGAAAGTTAACCTGGAAAAATCCACTTGCACATGCGCATATTTTACACCAATTCGTAAGTGAAAAAGTTGCCTCAACGCTATTGAATGCAAATATCCAGCTAAATATGTCAGTCTTGTAAAATATTTAAGTCCTCTTTTCCTTAAAATCACATAGCCACATATAATGCAAATAACTTACAGATGGCGTATATATGATTATTGAAAATATGAAAATAAATAACAGCTTTATAAATCAGCAGTGAAAGTTCTGAGCTACATATAGTTTTAAACGACTTCGAAATGTTACCGCATAACTTTGGACCACGTAAACCGATTTCGATAATTCGTTTTTTATCGGAAAGCAGTTGCATTACTTGTTTACTTAAAAATTACTTGTTTCTTTGTTAATTTACGCAAACTATAAATAAATCGGAGCACAACACAACACAAAACGTTTTCCGTTTTATCATTCTCTTCAAGGCATGATTTTCAGCTTAACTATTTCGATATCAGTAGAAAGGTAAGTCTGTTTATATATCCTTTCTTCCATGTCGTTGTAAAGGTCATATAGCTCATCGTTTCATCATATGCGGTATTCGTCGTTAGAATGGAGCAAAGCAAAACTTCTTTTAATTACAAAAGGAGGATTATCATCGCAAATAGAGCCCAATGAGTTTTGACCTGTTAACCATAACCATAAGTATATAGAAGCCATAGTTAAATATCAGTTCCAAGTAGGACTCTCGGTACTTTTTGTGGAATTATTCGACTTCTGTTGGGAACATATGCGACCAGGTAGGCTTAAAGAGGTACGTTATCGATCCCAGTCCTATCATATCATCCGATTAACGCGGATGCATGCTAGCAGCATGGTATTCTCAGCAAAAGACTACAACCGAATTTATTCCTACAACAAGAAAATTGAGAACGCTGAACACTTTATCTCCCACTGCGCAACCTTAGCTAAACTTGAGATGACGATGTCTGAAAAAGGTATGCGATTTTCGAGGCTCCATGGTTATTTCCGATTGGTTCCAATTTGGGATAAGAACAGCCATTCAAATTTAACATAAAAGCTCAGCTAGTCTAGGATTAATTTTTTGTTTGTTTTTTCTTAAAATAAACTTAGGATTCTAAAATTTCGAATTTGAACTAAGAATCGGTTTTCATATATTTCAACAGGTTTGCCAAATCTTGGGTTAAGTAATGTAACTTTAATTAATAACTGAGCCTTAACTATAGGAAACGAGTTTGAAAGAATTCTACGAAAACAAAGATTACGTGTAGTAATAAAAACTTCGAAATGCGCCACTGTGTATTGTGATTATGTGTGGTATAGTACAAATGATTTACATTTTCGATTTTATGTGCATTCCATTATTTTTATGTTAATTTAATGGTATCACCAGCTTTGGAAGTGTTATGAACTATTATACATATAATAACTAAATATTAACAAATAGATTGTAAACAAGCTATTTTAGATAAAGCTATTATTAACCGGTTACGGGAAGAAATTAAGGCAATTATCTGAAATGTCGAATCTAAATATGTAGGTAAAATGAGAATTAGTCTCGGAAGCGGTACTAGGTAATAGCTAGCAACAGATTAACAGCACAAAATCCATTATTTTCGGTATCCAATTTTTAACTCGTTTTTGCGAGGTAAGAAATAATTAAGAAACCGAGATGTTAAAATGGATATTCTTCTAGAAGCCTTACAGTTTGCCCAGATGATAGTTCAGCCTGCAGTGCCCTGTAAGTGGTTCTTGGATAAGTTCATAAATTACGTAAGGCATTTTAGTTGATATGCTTCGAAAAATCCTTTGGACTGGAAGCGATTCTTTGAGCCTCTTCCTCCTGTCTCACCAGGACAGAGAGTGCCCTTTTTCGCATGCTACATAAAAGTTCTGCGGCGCTGAAAGGGGTAGATCCTCCTTTCTTTGCAAGTCTATCGGCAGTCTGATTTGCTTCAAAAAACCTAAACTAGATTGGTCAGGCCAAGAGCGTATGGCTTACAAAGGCAATCCATCACCAATTAATATGCTACCTGATGAGATCTGACTTCTGTCAAGATAACAATTTTCTGATTCCAGAAATTTTCGTTTTTAAATTTGTATGAAACGTTTTACTTTTAAAAACGTTTTGACTCAGGTTTTGCACCAGCCTTTAAGACAACCAGCGCTCCATTCAGCTATAATTTTTATATATGCGTGAACGCTGAAAGCCACAATACCAGAAAAGCATGGTGAGGATTTCAAAACTAAGTGTGGCCCAAGAAACAAGTTTTTCGATTGCGCGTCATTTTAAGAACATGGTACCGTCTTATGGCTCAAAATGGTATATTTTGCATTTGGATATACATTGCCATTCATACAAAGCTCAGGCCACAAAACCACTGAAGGCATCTGATCATTCACAGTGTCATGGATACGGTTCGTTGCAACAGAGAATTAAGTTAGGTTAGATAGGGCGGCAGTCATGACTAGGAATCGTATCACACTCTACCACTGATGCGGCCTTTGAGATAGTCGTCTGAAAACACTGCAGAAAGGCGTGAGGTAAACGGTATGCCCAACTGTTCCGAATACACCCCACCACCAACTTTTTTTCGAGCTTCGATCCGTACGTATAATCCTGACTATGTCTACCGACTATTCCTCCTCCAACCGAGGATTAGCAGGCGCATAATTTGCCGTGGAGGGCATTTAGTTCGGTCACTGAGATCATACGACATGGCCCCATTGGACCATTTTTTTATGAGGCAACCCGGATGACCATAATTATGCGAAAAAATATCAAACTTTGGATCATCTTTGACATCAACATTTGTCCAGTTATGGCCAATATACATACATACACATGTCAACAAGTGGCCGAAAATATCTCAAAAACTCAACGATTGAAGGAATTCTTGAAAGCTTGCGACACACGTATAGATAAAAGGAAGCCCCCACTGAGTTCCGTAGCTTTTTAACGAGAACATACATATTTACACAGAATTCTACTCGTATGGTTGTCGGGGTACACCGGAATATTAATGGCGATTTGAAAGCTAGCCAATTGCCAAGGAAAGGTACGCGCACCCTAAACCTTCCGGGAAAGGACACGGTAGCCACATTCGTAGTAGTGACCAAGGAACGCTAGAACAACTTTTCGCCTTGCGAAACTTTCAGTTTACCTGGTATTGCTATAAAACGAAACGCTTACGGGGCACTTTCTGATGTGGAATCAAAACCTGTATTGACCTACACATGTGACATGTAGAACCAATTCGAAAAATTACCAAATTACCAAATTTGAGAAATAGAGAAAAAAAATTACCAAACATATGCAAGTTTTTCATTATATCTAGGTAGCTTTTTAAATTCTAATGCAAAACATTTTAGTTTTAAATATTGTTTATACTTAATTGACTTGTTGAAAATTGTGTCGCACTAGAATTTGTTGGGACAATATTATAAAATGTTTCATTTTAGTTTTGAAAAAAAAGTGAATACATATACTATAACGATCGTTTTGTTTTGCGAATGTTTCGTTTTAAAGTTGTAAACACAAATACTGTATTTTTTATTTTGTATCAAGTAAAATTATATAAAAAAAATTTAATTTTACAATTTCATTTAAAAACTTGCATTTTACCTGAATCATTTTCTCTGTGTAGTTTCGCTGATATTAAAGTCGATACGTCTTTCTATAGCGTATGTTTCAGTCTGGAAAATGGACATGCGTTTTCCAACAGGTTCCAACTACCTCAACTTCGGCCCAAATATGGACTCATATTCAGGTAACCTTTGCAGTCAATGAACCATCAATATAATAGATTATCGTGTTTTGGTTTATCAAATATGTTTCGAATATGCCAAATATAAACTAGCCCAACTATAAATATACATATCTACTTATATTTTGTGTTATTTCGTTTCATGGAATAGTATTCCAGCAAAACTAACAACCCTTCTCTCTCAAAACTCGCTAGAAGTTGAGCTATGATTGATGCACCTAAATTATTAAATCAATGTTCGTTAAGGCTATGGTCGCAATGGCCGCTGGTGAAGTATATCACTATAACGATTTTGTAAGAGCTGTTCAGAAAACGTACACTATAGATGATGAAAATGTGGAATTCATTCAGCTTGCCTGTGTGCTTGCCGCACTAAATTTAGTGCTTTTCTTTATTCAAAATGCGAAAGTTGAGTGCTTGGTGCGTTTTTTGGTGCTTTTGTTTTTAGTTTGAAGACACCAAAACTGTAAACCCTAAAAACAGGGGGAAGAATTTATAGCAATCGCAAGTTTTGTAAGCAACTTTAACCAACAAAAATATGTGGCAGCATTTTCAATCATGTCAGAATTACATTTGGTAATTCGTAATTGCTGGAACCTTAAACTGACCTTTAGTTTGGGCTGAATTTGTTATATTTGTTTACGACTATTCAAAGAAGCAGCAGCATCTCCTAACAGTAAAATTAATATCTAACGAACCTTTTGAAAAAAAAGAGAATAATCGAATCGAGGATGCATCACACTAGGCCGAGCATAATTTGAACTGCCATCAAATTAAAACTTAAGAAAGTTTTATTACATGGCAGTTGAGAAGTACACATGCAGCAGTACACAGCATGCATTTAGGCGCCCGTTGTTAGTAGTCGCGCCTAAACATTTGTTATTCTAGCGCAAAAGTCTAAAAAAAAGCTCAGCCACCATGTTGAACATCTATTTTGAGAGAAAACAATTGTATATCACTTGTTTTTTTATATTTTGATGATGGGTTGAACCCTTGCTTAATATTAATCTTTAATTTATTCTTAATCTAATCCTAATCTTAGTTACGGGCTTAATCTTAGTCTTAATCGTCCCTCACACAACTTATTTTTATCTAAATATCTAATCTAACAAATTAATATTTGAAACAAAAATAGCAAATTAAACGTAGACATCCCGCGGAAGATTTTTTTCAAGACAAAGAAGCCACAAATTTATTATCTTTATTGATGATCTTCAACTTAATAATATCTTCCTCGCCACCGAATCCGCTTAAATGGCTGTTAATTAAAGCAGCAATGAAATTGGATACAGATAATTTAAAAACATAAGACAAAATGCTGAAGATTTACAGCTGTAATAAACGCATAAAAACGAATTAATATATCATTTTTTCCTCAAGTGGATTAAGAGAGGCCACTGAAATTTAGGCTTTCAGCTCAAATTTTGAAATCTGCATATATTTCGAGTAATTAATGTTTCGATTATTTAAATTATTTCACTTTCATTTTCCTCTACATCCTTGTTTATGGAATCTAAAAATTGTGCCAAATGAGTTGGTAACATCAACTCCCGCACTTGCATACTTATTAAGTAGTTTCCATTGGATGATATAACACTGTTTAGCCCTGAAATTCCTGCGAACCATAAACGTCAGTTGTCATTAGCGTTGCTCTCAGCTGTCAAATGGCGCCAAACTGGCGATAAAAAAATATATTTTACAGACCCCAACCTGCTGTGCATTGCAACGTTATTGTTTGCTTTTTGTTTTCATTAATATTTTATGTTTTAGCGAATTCACAATCCCAGCAAAATCTATTAGTTTTTTATGCTAAACACAAAGAAACACATTAAAAGTGGTATATAAAAAATAAATAAAATTTCACATCTTCACCTACTATTAAACCTCTAACACTTTTTTCATTAACATACACACATACATGTGTATGTAATACGAGTATGCGTAGACAGAAGAAGCCATAGTTATGATAACACCTTGCGAATATTGCCAGTCGTTGGTGGATAATAATAATAATAATATATTGGCGCTTACACATATGTATGTTAGTGTTTGGCCGAGCTTCTCCGCCTATTTGTGGTGTGCGCCTTGATGTTGTCACACAAAGCGGAGGGACCTACAGTTTTACGCCGACTCCGAACGGCGATTGTATTTTTATGAGAAGCTGTTTTTCATGGCAGAAATGCACTCGGAGGTTCGCCGTCGCCTGCCGAGGGGCGACCGCTGTTAAGAAAAATACTTTTTTCTATATTTTTTTTGCGGTGTTGCTTTGACCAGGGTTTGAACTCAGGCCCAGTGGAGTGGAAGCGCGCACTGCTACCCACTACCCCACAGCGGCCAACGAGTCGTTGGTGGATATTTGCATGAAATCTCGCATTAATAAATCCGCTTAAAAACTAACTTTTAACTATTTGTTTTTAACCAACGCTTTGTGGGCCAATAAACAGCTCTTTATTGGCCACATGTTGTTGATACTGTAATTCGATTTGTTTAAATATTCATTGAGCCCTCTGTTGATCACAGAAATGACATTAAAGCGAATGTATGCATTCACAAGCTATTGTGTTGTATAATTTAATGTCACAGTTAACAGCTCCCAATCAGTACAGATCAGCGACGGCCAAGACAGTAGTCTCTGTGAGTGGTGTCAAAATAAACAGTGGTAGGAAATCTTTCCCAGGTGCTTAAGGCTCTTCGTCTGTATACCTGAACATCGGCACAGAAAGTGGTAAATTGACTATTATTCATCCTCGTCACGGCAACAAGAGGGTATTTGTTGGTTAGCGCAGTGTCATGTGATGATCCCAAAAAAAATCTTACTGCATACTCATTTAGTTTCAATTCGTCCCTCATCTCTTCACTACTAAGCCGCGGCCATAATAATCTTCCGTTTGTCGCACAAGTCATTAGTCGCGGCCTTGGTGCATTCATTAATTTTCCTAACGTGATCACTAAACGCCTTCTATGAGCCGAATCTGACACACTCAGCCGACTCATTCCCTTCAATATTGCTATGCCCGCGGTCCCAGCATAGAGTGATGTTGATACGGCTCAGTGACGCTAGCGTGGTGCGAAATTCCCACACAATTTCCAATTTCACTATTGTAGATGCTATTGCTTTCAGTTCTGCTTGACTGTCAACAAAGATAGTGGGACTCTACTACTAAATAAAAGTCTAGCCAAAATTTAGTCTCGATCATACCTTCTGTTCTCGATACCTGAAATTTAGTTTACAGAAAGGTGAAAAAACTATATATTTTTAATATAGGCAACGGGTATATACATTTCGGTTTCGCCCGAAGTTATTCTTTTTTTACTTGTTTTAAATTAGTTTTACAGACGAAGAAAAAAGTATTTAGGAAAGACCTTTCATCGACTTTCTGATCCTGGATAGTAAGCTATCGTGAAAGCCTAACATTGAGGAACGGGTAAGGAAGGTATACTGCTGTAGGTGAGTTACCGGTAAAAGGTGCGGTTTTTCGCCCAAAGTAATTCATTAGCCGTATGAAACCAGATGTAAGACTATCTTGTTTCATGGAGCCCTTGTCTGGTGGAACTCACTAGAGACGGAGGCACTTGTAAAACAACTGAAGCGCTTACAGCGGATCGCTCTAATCGGAAATATGGGAGTATTAGGAACCACACCTACGCTGGCGCTTAAAGTCGTGGCGGCTGCGGATATTGCAGACACCATTGTCCCAGAACAAACTGTTATTAGGCTCGGGGAAACTGGATGGTAATAATCTGGAGTTGTGGAGGGTTTTGACTTCGCCCTGAACATATAGATTACAGCGCCTCTGGGATGGCTCCCAGAAGCTCCTTCTCTACCTGTATTCCCTTTTCATGGATAGATATTTATAAACTTGGAAAAAGGGTTGGTGGAAGTGTCTTTTTTGGAAACTCTCCACCGAAACTATGTTCAGGCTTCCGGACTTCTGCAGTGTCTTGAAGAGTGGAAATAGCTATAATAACATTGCGGGAAATTGCGTGGCTGATGACCTGGCAAGGAAAGGCAACCTTAAAACATTATCCCCAAATAAGGAGCGACTAGGGACGCCTTTGTCCTCCCGCGGCGCACTCTTGGATGGTTGGGCCTAGTATTAGCTTGACGAGCGCTAGACAAATACGCATACTTCGTACTCACGGTAATTAAAATGCACACTCTACTAAATACCTAATAAATGGAACACTTTATCTTTCATGGGCTATTGACGGGGGTTCTGGCAGGCCATTGTGTGATTGATATTCACGCGGTAAGACTAGGAATTTCAAGTAATCCCTTTTGTATCAGCTGTCAAGAGGAGAATATGAGGTAGAATCATCTCTACACTTTCTTTTAGACTGTCCAACGTTCGCGAGGCCAAGATGGAAGAATTTTGGCACGCACTTCTTAATCAACAATGAGCTCTTTGGAAATCGGCTCGCGGCGTTTCGCCGACTAAATTAAGAGCATCCGGTCAGGTTTTCACACACACGAAGGACAATCTCCTTATTGTCCAAGTGCGTCCCTTGCCTTTAACCTAATCCAATCTAACCTGTACTTCTTTGAGCTATGAAATAGTTGGTCACATTAATCATACTGTATGTAATTCATTCGAAACCTGCAAGTCCAATTATAAATTTAATTTAATAAATTTGACTATACATTGAAAAAATTATCTAATCAATAGTTTTGACGTATGCACCTCCAGGCACTTTGTTAATATGCAAATTTTTTGAAGTACTAGTAATCACTTGTAAATGATAATAGCTATTGTCATTTTAATTGTCACAAACTTGAATTGATCATGTACCTGTATGCCTCTACGGCATTCATCATTCATATTCATCACACAGGTGTTGGTTGGTTTGAACAATCATTTCAGTAATA